GGGCTGCATCTAGGGATTGGGCCTGCCCTCTGCCACCCGGGAGCAGGCCTAAGCCAGCAGGTTGTTATCTCTGGAGGGGTCCCAGACTGCGAGAGGGCACAGGCCGGGCTGAGGAATCCCCCTCTCCCCCGAGTGCACAAATTTTTATGCACCAGGCCTCTAGTCTATATAATAAAGAGGTAATATGCAAATTGGTCTTAACAGCATAAAATTAATGACCAATTTGCATATTAACAGGCCAGCAGGAGGCTGCGAATGCAGCAGGGGAGCTTTCTGTGCCCCTGCACCCACATGGGCAGGAGTCAGGCCTGGGTTCCAGGCGCCCGAAGCAGCGGGGGTCAGGCCTGGGTCCTGGATAGCCACAGCGCAGTGGTAGTTAGTCAGTTAGGCCTGGGTCCCAGGCACTACAGCACGGGAGTCAGGCTTGGGTCCCAGGCACCCACAGCAGTGGAAGTCAGGCCTGTGTCCTGGGCACTGCTGCACAGCAGTTAGTCCTGTGTCCTGGATGCCACAGCATGGGAGTCAGGTCTGGGTTCGGGGTGGCCATGGCACAGTGACAGTCCATCAGGCCTGGGTTCTGGGCACCCTCAGTGGCAGGAGTTAGGCCTGGGTCCCAGGCGACCTCGGCCCAGCGGCAGTCAGTCAGGCCTGGGTCCTGGACACCCACAGTGGCAGGGATCAGGCCTGGGCCCATCAACAGTTAGAAGGCATCTCAGGGTGAGGACCATCACCTCAGCCAGAACTCAAGATGGTTGCCTGGCCTGGCCCCTCCTCAGAGGCAGCCCTTTCCTCCGTGTTCACTGCAGAGGACAGACAGGGATGCCTAAGAGGCTCAGGCCATGGTGCCCCATCCCTACCCTACTCCTCTGGCCTCCTTCACCTGTGGCCCCCACAGAAGGGTAGGTATGAGAGTCCTTCCCCTGCTACTTCTCACCACTGTCTGCAGCCATCCCTCAGCACACAGGCATATCGGCTTTCAAACTAGCCCTACTCACTTCCTCTCACTCCCTTCCAGGGCCTCTGGTCTGGATGGGGCCTTTGGAATCCAGGGCTCTGGGGTTTTACAACAGAGCTGGGGTGGGAAAGGGTAAACAGCACCAAAGATGGCTGATATGGCCATCCACCTCTGCCTCAGCTTGACCAATTAGTTCAGCCTCAGAACGTGACACTCAGAGGGGTCGCTACCCCAGTACCAACCTCCTCTCCCCCTTGGCCCTGCCCACAGCTGGTGCTTGATGCAGCTCCGTGTGCCTTACTTAACCACCCCTCCCTTCCCTGTTCCTACAAAGGAGGCTGTATCTTTGTATGTTACATTCATATAAACTTTGTAACGTTTTGGGGGAAAAAAGATGACCAAGAGAATGCCACAGTCAACGTGTCTGGAGTCCGGCTCAGGAGAATGGAGAAAAAAGAGAATTCCATAAGTTGGCCGATGCCAAGATATTTCTGAGTGACTGCCTGGTGTGTGACTGTTGTTTGACCGCAGAGGAAGGAGTCCAAGTTTCTCAGCAGAGCACCAAGGACTTCTTCCATGTTCTGAACCTTAGCTCTGGTTTTCTGAATTCCCTGCTCCCCATCTGTCAGCTCCCTCCCTCTGAGGGGCACTATTGTCGTCACATGGGTGCAACAGGAATATTGTATCTGGAAAAGATTGCCCCAATGTACGTATCCTTTTATCTGACGATGAAAAAATCCCAAAGAATGGAGACAGACTACTGTCCTTTATGCTTAAAAAAAAACCTGGAAGTGTCCTGGGAAGAGCTGAAACTTGGTTCTGTCCATGCACCTCAGAGAGATTGGATGAGGAAATGGCCTGGTTTGGCCCTGAATTTACTCTTGAAGGTGTCTTTGCCACAAAATGAATAAATTGCCACCTTTTGGAATAGGGGCTCATACGAAAGTCTGCATTCCCAACTTTTCTTGAAAGAAATCTATGTTCTGCAGCTGAGGCCACTGTTCTGAGACCAGGTCCTGTCGCTAGGAATCAGGGGGCACTGGAGTGGAAACTCCACACTGTGTCCTTTTACATTCAGGGATTGAGCTGAACTCACTTTAGAGGAGGCCTGGCAAGGCTGACAGGTGTCACAGATAGAAGGATAGAGAATGGAGAGGCAGACATCCTGCTCTGTCCCTGCCTGGGTGGGGTCAGGCAGATGAAGGCCATCCAGCCCACCCCACAATTGGGTGAGATAGCATCCTCTGTGTCCACCTCTCATCCTGTAGGCCCAGCCAGTCCCCTCAACTCCGGGCAGCTCTCTGTGTTCCACGACAGCATGGTCTGCCCTCACATGCTGCTCACCCTAAATGAGAAGGAAGAGAGCAGTTGGCCCACAGAAAGATAGGGCTCACAACTGGTGAGTGCAGTGGCAGTGGCAGGAGCCTCTCCTGCTTCTATGGCAGCACTAAGGAGCAGTGAGCCAAGTGGTAAGGAGCAGCGAGCAGGTGGACAGTAAGGAGAGAGGGTTTCCAAACTGTGAGCGGGATTTCCAACTGTTGGCTTAGGCCCGTTCCAATAAGCCAGCAGGTGGACATCCCCTGAGGGGTCCCAGACTGCAAGAGGGTGCAGGCTTGTGCTAACCCACAGCCAACATTATACTCTATGGGCAAAAATGAAAGTGTTTTCCCCTAAAATCAGGAACAAGACAGGGATGTCTTCTTTCACCACTCTTATTCAACATAATACTGGAAGTACCAGCCACAGCTATCAGACAAGAAAAAGAAATAAAAGCAGTACACATTTGAAAGAAGGGACTAAAATAGTCATTATTTGCAGGTGACATAAAAACCCTAAGACTCCACCAAAAAATTAGTATATCTACTAAATGAATTATTCAAATTAGCAGTATACAAAATTAATATGCAGAAAATGGTGACATTTTATATATCAATAATGAACTATTAGAAAGAGAAATTAAGAAAACACTCCCATTTACTATTGCAACAAAAAATAAGGTACCTAGAAATAAATTTATCGAAGGAGGTAAAAACCTGTATTTGGAAAATTATCCTATCTAATAAAGAGGGAATATGCTAATTGACCCTCATGCTGTCTCAAAGAAGGTGGTGCCCACAGCCAATAAGGAGGGAATATGCTAATTGACTGCCATACCCTCAAAGATGGCGGTGCTCACAACCACAAGATGGAGGTGCCCAGTTCCCTCAGCCTTGCCAGCACACCTGCCTCCAGCCCCACAGCCCCCCGGGACCAGCCCGAGGCACAGGCAAGCCTTAGATGTCAGCTGTGCAGCCACCCAGTGCTGGCCCAAGGTGTAGGCAAGCCTTGGCTGTTGGCTTCCCAACTGCCCAGGGCCAGCCCAAGGTATATGTAAGCCTCAGATGATGGCTGCCCAGGGCCGCCTGAGGTTCAGGTAGCCAGAGCCGGCCGAGGCTTGTGCTGCTTGCAGTGGCAGCAGCAGAGGTGTGATGGGGGCATTGCCTTCCCCTGATCACCGGGTCGCCTCCCACCCCTGAGGGCTCCCGGACTGTGAGAAGGGGCAGGCCAGGCTGAGGGACTACCCCGCTCCAGTGCATGAATTTTCATGCACTGGGCCTCTAGTAAGATACTAAAAAAAGAGATTGAGGAAGATACAAATAAGTGGAAGTGAATACCATGTTCATAGATAGGGAAAAATAACATTATTAAAATGTTCATACTTCCCAAAGCAATCTACAGATTCAATGCAATCCCTATTCAAATACCAATGTGTAACAAGTACTTCAAAAATTGATAGGTAATTTTTAAAAAAAATACCAAAAAAGCCTCAGCAATCTTGATAAAGAAGAACAAAGTTGGAGGGATCACAATACCTGATGTCAAACTATGTGAGGCCATAGTAATCAAAACAGTGTGGTATTAGCACAAGAACAGGTATAAAGATCAATGGAAAAAACAGAGAGCCCAGAAATAATCAACCTTTATGGCCATTTAATATTTTACAAAGGAGGCAAGAACATATAAGAGGGTAAATACACTTTCTTCAATAAATGGTGATGGGAAAATTGAACAGTCACATATGAAAAAATAAAACTAGATCACCGAGGAGAACCAAGATGGCGGCATAGGTTAACGCTGGAGTTTGCTGCCTCGAACAACCACTTCAAAAGTGAAACTAAAAGACGGAACGGACATCACCCAGACCCACAGGAACGCTGGCTGAGTGGAAGTCCTACAACTAGGAGGAAAGAG